TCGAAAGCAATTGTCGAAATGTCTTATTGCATTTCAGAACTCGATAATAAAGGCAAAATTAATCCTTAGTCTTTTAGAGGAATGATGTCTAGCTTGGGTTTTAGAATAACTTGGAGAGACAGGATAATTGATGGATTAAATATTAGCATTAGTGGTTTGTTTTAAGACCGGATGTATAAGTTGATAGCCAATAATAAGATAGTTGAAGATGTTTCAGTATATTGACAAGTTAAACCCTGATGGATTCTTCCGGAATAAGAAAGAGTTCATGGGTCACTAGCAGTGGATATCAGTCATGTTACAGCAGGCATAGCTTTCAGTTTCAATCTTTCTATCAGCCTGATAACTAGCAAGCCAAAATAACTGGAACTTAACCAGCTTTTTAAAGCGTGAATCCTAAAAGGAATTATGGGCGTTTGCTTTTTGTGGGCATTTTCAAAYGAGGAACCTATAGATAAAAAACTAGTTTGGAGAATTACGCGGTCGAGAGGTTTAAATTTACGCTTAGTCAAATAAAACCATTTCTTATCTTTCTCCCACTCTCCCACTATCTCTTTTTTTCTTTCATTATTATATTTGTCTTCCCTTTCACATTTTGTCAGCATTGAACGCATGCGCACTTCTCCATAAATGAAAACTATACCCTATAGCCTATATATATTTTGAAATTCGAGATTCTGCAATCTAAATGTTAGTGCGCAGCCTTAGCTTATTTCACTGCTTTATGCATTGTCCCACCTCGACACTTGAATTTCTTCAGTAAATCAGGTGATCATTTAGCAGAAGCCAATCAAGTGCCCCCGTTACTACGAAACAATGTTATTTATCTAACTTTAACCACTTACAATCAATAGGAAAGAGTATGCTTGCTATATATTACTGGATTTTTCGCAAAATCCAAAAACCCGGCTTGATCTTCCTATAAAGTATTAGACGYCTGCGGGTTGATTGTAATTACGGAGTTGTGCGCTTTCGACTCACCAAACCTTCGCAATTTTTTATTTAACTTGATTTGTATTTAATTACGTTAGGTTCCGCCAACCAGTCAGTCRACACTAAAATTTATACTTAAGCCAAGTCATCCGTGTATTATAGGCTTGGGCGGTATCTTGAAGCTATTTTTACTTGGGGTTTAKTCTAATGTGATCTTAAAATTGAACGCTGCTGTTTCGAGCATAACCACTCTGGTCGCGGATGCCCTTAGTACTTCTCAAGATGGATCGGCCAAGTTTTYGTTTTGGCTCGCTTTTTACGCTGTTGGTATTTATAGTTCATATAGAGTCGTCAAATGCAATCGGTAAGTTTCGTTTACTATACGTGTATGACTATATATATTAAGGACGTGTTCACGTAATCCGGTCCTTACGTAATTACAACATCACTTGGTCAATGTATATATATACACTTTACTGAGAAAATCAAATATTTAAAGTAAATCCTTCATTTATGACATCTATGACTATCACAAAGGATGGGTCACTTGTTAACCGCCATCACAACAGACAGGTGGTGGCATGCTTTATCATTTGTTTAACGTATTTTGCTTGTTTCGCAGTGGCTTCCGTTCATCGTCGAAACTATAATATATTTACCTAATACATCTTCAGTAAATAAAGTGATATTATTATAATATACCTATCTCTTTGAAAGATTAGTTTTTGAGGTTATTCGCATCCAAATCAGTCTTGTTTCGTTTTCGCTTGTACTTCGTAATTTCATGATTCTCTTACGATCAATATATGAAATTAAGCAACAAGAACGATAATGTTTTTAAATATAAATTAAGGGCAAATCTTTCACACGATTTTATTAAGTCGTAGTTAGTATTTAGTGTAATTTATACTATATTATGTTTATCGCACGATATATCCCTTTTTGTTTTACTTAACACTGAAAAGCCACCATGGAGACGCTTCGCTTGAGCTTTTCTAATTTATATGTGATGATTAATAGCCGAAAAACTAACTAGAAGTGACAAGAAGTCTTAATAGGGATATTGGACTGCTTATTTTTAGAATTGYAGGACCTTGATTTGTTAATAACAACCTATAGACATAGGCATTTAGACATTGGTAAACTAGTGCTATATCTATAAGGTATTTAAGGGGTTGGATTACAGTTAATACCTAAGCAAAGTTTATGGAAGTTTATGGGAAGTTTATGGGAAGTTTATGGAAAGTTTATGGGAAATTATTATGGGAAGTTTATGGTAAGCATGGGTGGTGTAGCGGTCAGAGCGCTCGCCTCTAACCAATGCAACCCGGGTTCGAGTCCCCACGAGCTCGGTGTTGTATATGTGAGTTGAGTTGTTTGTTGGATCTCTCTTGTGCTTCTAGGGTTTTCCGGGTTCTCCGGTTTTCCTCCCTCCGCAAAAATCCACTCCTAAATTCTAATTCGATCCTAGGAGATATATTCACTATAGGGCTAACCTCAATATCTCCTTTCGCACTCACTGATGCGAATAAATTAGTGTGTCAAAATTAGTTAGTCTAATCCAACTAGTGGACTATGCTYATTGTTGCCGGGCCGGCGTTCTGGTTGGATGAGCTACTACTTATACTACTAGGCTATGAGTTATATCCTACTGGTAGCGAAAAGTGCAGGCTTTGAAAACCAAAACATTAAATTTTGAATTAAAAAATTTAATTCGAAACTTTTTTGCATCTATATATTTAACCAAAAAACAACAACAAACAAACAAAAACCCGACAACAACAATAATATTAAATAATGTGGTTCAAGAAGAAGCAATGACATGTCATGATACCATAATAATTACAAATTATGCTTACAGTTTCGTTTGGAGTAGACGAGCAGACGGATCGACAAGACGGATGCATATGGCGGGCTCATTATAATGATATACGTTTGTAATYACAGGTTGTAGCGACACATCAATCGGTATTGAGAATGTCAACATCTTCCCCAACAACCGTTTTACAGCCACCWCCATCTACGATAGTCGCTATGAAGCATTCAACGCTAGACTTCAAGTAAACATTATAGGTTGGGGCGCAAAGACGAACGACGATGCCAGTGATCATATCAAAATCGATCTTGGGAGCGTTTACATCATCTGTGCTGTGGCAACACAAGGTAGTGCGACTAACAGCGAATGGGTCAGAAATTACTTAATTATGACGTCTGTTGATGGCTTCCAGTACACAACCTACCGAGAAAATGSAGCAGATAAGGTAGTTATTAAACTTTTAATTTGAGAGATTTTTCAATTTCAAATATTTTGCGATCAAAATTAATTTCTTTTCCTAATGAATCATAATTAGAAAAATAACTTTTGAGCTTTGCCAAAAAAAAAAAAGATATAATATTCAAGAGAATAACACTTGGTGTAAAATGGGAAAACATTACACTTTGTCTCTATTTAATTAAGTTTCCCACACGTTATTCCAGCTGTTTACAGGAAATRCAGACCAAAATTCAGTCGTTAAAAACGTCATAACTGAGGTCAAAGTGAGGTACATTAGATTTTTTCCAAGGGATTACAATAGGCACAAGACCATGCGAGTGGGACTATTCGGCTATAAAGAAGGTAACGAATGAAATATCGACAAACAAATGAACGATCGACGAAAAACAACAAACAAAAAACCAACAATAACAACAACAACAATAATAATAATAATAATAATAATAATAATGATAATACTAATAATAATAATAATAATGATAATACTTATTATTCAAACATGGCCCAAAACGTCCACAATAAAATTAAARCAAACGAACAAATATCCGATCTAGCAAACGAACGAAAGAACAAATGAACGAGCAATTACACAAACAAGCAATTAAAGAAAGATGCTTTTATTTAAACAGGGTTAATGTTTACAGTAAATATACAATAATTCATTGTTATCAACAGTGAATTATTGTATACCTATAGACATGAGTAAAGCTTTTGATCATGCACGATAAACCAAAATTACCACAATAACGGAATGAATGAAAACATTATTCATATTAAAACTGTACTTCAAAATTTACAGAGTGTGCTAAAAGGACAATCGGTTTGGAGAATAAATACATCATACCTGACAGCAGTTTTACAGCAACTTCGCAATACGACAACAGATACTATCCATACCACGCTAGACTTAACAGTGACTTGAAAGGATGGGCTGCAAAGACAAATACAGATCCAAATGACTATCTACAGATTGATCTTGGACTTCCTTACGTCATCTGTGCTGTAGCAACACAGGGTAGCAGTGATAGTGGTGAGTGGGTGACACAGTATAAGATAGGTCTGTCGATGGATGGTAGTCGATGGAMCACATATCAAGAAGGCGGAGTTCATAAGGTATGGTTCACAAGAAAGACGTCGGAAGGCATCTTTAGAGGGAGAATGTTCAAGAGTTTTACTTAATTAGCTTACTTAGCCCGTTGGTTGTTTGGATGGTTGGATTGATAGCATTGGTTGGTGTAGGTAGGTTGATAGCATTGGTTAGTGTCGATTGGTAGGTTGCATTGGTTAGTGTCGATTGGTAGGTTCGTTGACTCGTTAGCCTTTAGGGTAGTTGGGTTTGTTAGATGTTTGGTTGGTTGATTGTTTGGTCGGTTGGTTGATTAGACCGTTGGTTGGTTGATTGGTTCGTCGGTTGATTGGACGGTTGTTTTATTGGTCAGTTGGTAGGTAGGTAGGTAGGCTAGTTTGTCGGGCAGATTTGAGTGGTTGGATGATTGTTGGTTTTGAGAGTGACATCAAAATTTAACGTTTTTTTTTTTTTTCAACCACGGGCTTGCATATCACATTTATAGGTCTTTCAAGGCAATATCGACCACAGCATTATTATGCTAAATGAACTTACAAAGAAAACCACAACAAGATACATGAGATTCATTCCAACGGCTTCTGGTGGTTATAAGACAATGCGAGTAGGGGTTTTTGGTTATCTAGAAGGTACGTAAATACCACTCAAAAATTTAACTACAAATACATAGTTCAATGTTTCAGCGACGGCTAAACATCCAACATTGACCTGTCAYGAAAAATGACAATCGATGAAAATGGTAGTGACAATGTAAGACTAATGTGTATTTTCGTGTGGCTTATTCAGCTTGCTTTAAGCAACCGATTGGCATGGAATCAGGAGCTATTCAAGATGGCAGTATAACAGCTTCATCTGCTAATCATCCGGCCAAGAATGCAAGACTACATTACAYATCAGGCTCATCGTGGTGTGCCTCTACAATAAGTGACTCTAATCTATATCTACAGATTGACCTCGGGACATCTCACCTTATCTGTGCTGTGGCTACACAGGGAAATAGCATGGCAGATCAGTGGGTGAAGACGTACCAGATAGCGACGTCCAATGATGGATCATCGTGGACTACGTACACAGAAAATAGTGCAACGAGGGTAAGTCTGGATTAAATGATGACTGCAAAGTCATGCATTCACCTAAATATCTATGCTAGGTGTTCTTTCAGAGTAATATGCATACATTATTCCAGTTCCCAACCAATCCAGTCCCCAGTTTTGACGCAAATGAATGCAAAATAGCTTAGTACTGCATGAACGTAGTATGCTTCCAAACGGAACCCACTCACACTTTATAAAAAATGCCAGGTCTGACATAAACAAATCGTTAAAAACATATTCAACAGATATTCTATGGTAACTATGACCGTACAACCGTTATAAGACAAGTTCTGTACCATGGTATTGTTACAAGATATCTACGTATTGTACCTAAGACATTCCATACTACCAGCACAGTGTGTTTGAGGACAGAGATATATGGATATCCTTTCCAAACAAGTGAGTTTATTAGCCCGGTGGTAGTGGTGGTAAGGGTTGTTGGTAAAATGGTGGTGGTGGTGGTGGTGGTGGTGGCGGTGGCGGTGGCGGTGGTGCTGGTGGTGGTAGTTGTGGTGGTGGTGGTGGTGGTGGTCGTCGTCGACGTCGTAGTAGTAGCAGCAGCAGTAGTGGTGGTAAATGAATATTATTTCACTTTTTCAATGATTATAAATAAATGGACTCTTTTCGGCTATATTTTCTAGGTTGTTCTAGGCACAGTGTTGGTATACCAAGTTCATTATTCATACCTGATCACAGATTTACGGCAACATCGGAATATAGTAATGACTACTTGCCTCATAAAGGAAGACTGGGTGCTGCCTCAGCTTGGGCTGCAAAATCAAACACAAATAGCGGTGATTATCTACAAGTCGATCTTGGTGCTGTTTTCTACATATGTGCTGTAGCTACTCAAGGGACTGCGTTCAGTGCAAACGAATGGGTTACAAAGTATAAAGTATTATATTCAACAAACAACAATCAGTGGAATACATACACAGAGAGTGGAGCTGATAAGGTAAATTAAACCGATATACTTAATTTACATTTTAGTCAAAATACTACTGTATAGAATGGGCTGAACCCAGGTGAATGAATGTTTATCGAAGTAACAATATTTGTATTATGATCATCCGTCTGGATGTAGTCCTGAGAAGGACTGTTTGATGGGACTGACGTTTCGACAACCTGAGAGGAAGTCATCTTCAGAGTCAATTTGAAGAATGTGAAGAATAAAATATTCCCATCAAAAAGTCCTTCTCATGACTACATCTACCCGGATGATCATGATACAAAAATTCTTACTTCGATAAACAAAATACTACTATCAATTTCAAATTTTATCTCATTTCGTGGAGGGTAAAGAGGGAAAAATATGATAATATCAAATCGTTACAGTTTCTACTATCTGATTACATGTAGGAGTTTACAGGAAATACAGACAAAACCACAGTTGTTTCCCATTTGATAACGAACCGATTCAAGGCCAAGTTTGTTCGTGTGCAACCGATTACATATAACACACATAAAGTTATGAGGATTGAATTCAAGGGGATTGCAGCAGGTACTATTTTCACTGGTGAATTTGATAGTCATTAGCTATCACGCGTTGCATCATGGGGCTGGTTTAGGGGACGCTTTCAGTAATACTTATATGGTAACAAAAAGTGCGCTGCATGACACTGCCACAATCACAGCACGGCACGGTCCATACGAAAATTACTATATATTACGCATTTTCATAAATCGACAAATTGATAAATAAATATTAGCCATCGCTAATGACCACTGCAAAAACAGCAGTGGCACAGCTCAACGGTGTCGAACTGAAAGCCTGTGAAGGCGTCTCTATCAGCCGCTATACTGCCCATGTATCATGCCCCAGAGCACAGTTCCAACCAGTTTGAATTAGTTGGGGTTGATTTGAGAGGAGGAAGGAAAAATAGGAAATGCTAATGTTCTTGTTAAAACTATACAGGTTGTATTTCATCTCTTGGTCTGGAAAATTCTAAAGTCAAAGACTCGCAGATAACRTCATCTTCATCATCCGATAATTCCCATACTGCACCACGTGGTCGTCTGTATGGCAGCTCGTCATGGTGCAGCCAAACAAATGGTAATAATGAATACATACAGGTTGATCTTGGAGAGATCAAGACAGTGACAGGTATTGCAACACAAGGAGACAAAACTGTAGACAAATGGACGATTACTTACAAAGTTAGTTACAGCTTTGACGAAGGAGTTTGGTTTGAATACCGAGAGGGGGCATCTTCTAAGGTAAAAGAAATAAAAATTCATGGATATTATAAAAACAGAATTACGCGTCACTTCGGAAAAAACCTTGYACAAAAGAAGACGCATATTCCTACGTGTGACGTCGAAGAAATGCATTCAATTTCCCGCGTATTTTCATAGAAAAKTTTTGACGGGCATGCCGGCCAGGCAAGTGGGTGCACAGCCACAAATTGATGAATGCCCTAAATCTTCGGTTATCATTTATCATTATGACGCGAAAAATGCAAAGGCCAGTTAAACTGATTTGTCGGTTCCTTTCGTGGATTGCGGTATTTTTCCAACGAAAAAAGCTGGAAAAACCTGTCCATCTTTCCTTAATAAAACCCTTGTAGAGTAAAGGGTAGAAAGATTTTCCCAAGGAAAAAGGCTGGGGAATTCTGCCTATCCTTCGAGAGCCTATCAAAATTTGCCGCAACTTCATTCATTAATAGTCAGCGAACAAAGAAGATACCCGGCTTTTTCATAACCTGATCAACGTTTCTGTTTTGCAGACTTTCGATGGAAATACTAACAAAAATGACATCAAAGTAAACTGGCTAACCCATCCAATGGCAGCACGATATGTCAAAGTATTTCCCCAAGTTAGTAAAATTGGACATTGTCTCCGACTTGAGCTTTATGGATGTGAATTTTGTAAGTAAACGTCATGAAACCATTCCTTTCTTTCTCAAACACACAATTGTTTGGAGTGACCAAAGACTTCGTATAAAGACGTGGAGTGAAACGTCATCAGGGCTTTACATTTCGGTCAAACTAAGAATAAAGTCTGCAAATTATTCCTGTTTTCAACGACAACAAAAATGCTAACTTGTTGTATTACATATTTRTTTTAGTCTATCCTCTATCCGCTTCACTGAATACTGCTAGCATTGTCCTTCCAAGCAAAAAGAACAGTTCTGAGAATCTAACATGTAGTGTACTTAGCGAACCCCTTCCTGATATCCAGTGGCTGAACAACGGAACGAAGATCAGTGGTGCCACACAAGCAAGTATCCAACTGGTGTTTAACTCTGCTGATGAGATTGTCTCCACTTACAGCTGCTCAAGTGCAGATCCTAGCAAACGAGCTGTTATSTGTACTAAGTTTTACACATGCAGAGCGAAGTACATCTTTATTGTACCTAGTGGAACAGTAGATGAAGCCACTGCTAAAGTCACCCTTTATCTAAGTAAGAACTCATAACTAAGATATTTATCTCCGTTTTACAGTCACATAAAGAAAGTTTTATCTTCAAAACATGGTAAAATCGATCGAGGCACTAAATTCCAATTCTATCCAGCGAATTGGCCGTGCCATGACTTAYGTCATCCAAGAGGATGTTTCAGGTTCGACAGAAATTATGAAGACTTGAAGACCTATTCAAAAGTGGCGCGTGATTTGGTTATGCACACTGTGAAGTTGTTAAAATAATTCGAATTTTGTTATTCATTCTGGTCTTTTTTCTTGTGAAGATGTATCAGAAGCTCCTAATGTCAGAGCAGTTTCGTTCMAGCGTTCTATACGCTTGACCTGGATCCTGCCAAACCCATCTGACGAGGTCGGGGGAATTACCAGCTGCCTGATAGAGTTCAACAACCAGAGTTCTATCAAGGCCATATCTGTTGGTCATCAAGCTTCTCCTTTTAATCTAACCTACCTTCGCCCTTACACGAACTATACTGTGAGAATGAGAGCAATAAGCGCTCCGGGACAAGGACTGTGGAGTTCGCTTGTTAGCGTTAGAACCACCATTGCAGGTAATATTCATTATTCTTCRTTTTTACCTAACTACCTCGCGGGTATGCTTGTCATAGTTTCTCAATTAGTTTCTTATTTAACCTCGATATAGCCAGCATTGTCGGTTTCTTGTATTCTTTTGGAAATAGATGTAATCGTTAAAATAATAAACAAGGCGGCTTCTWATGAAGTTAACAGAGAAGCATGTTCTTGGGTGCTTGACATCGTCGGCGCCATACTGGAAGAATGAAATGAAATAAGACTTTGCTCGATTGGCAGACAGTCATACCCTTTAGAAACCTTAATTCATTGATAAAATCAGGGAAGTGATTTATATTCTTGCATGCACTTTTGCAGAGCCTGATGGTATTCCAATGATCACAAAGCTAACAGCGTTGACATCCAAGAGTATAMGTATTGACTGGCAGGTATTTACTAAGACAAATATATAGTACTACGTAGGCTTGAGTCTTATTATTAGAATGAGGCACCGTAAAGTAAGTACTRTTTACTGTCGGCATCCTTTAACTGCATCCTTCAACTGCGGAGTAAGTARAGGCCTTCTAGGTAGCCGTAGAGGTATACACTAAGTGGTGTCTTAGGAGACATACTGAACCACTGACACGACACTGACACACATTTGTCCAGCAGCGATAAACGTCAGTAGCCTAAATCATGAGTACTAGCTTTTCCCTTTAATATATGTTAATTAAGAAGGAMCATAATCTAGGGGTCATTTCTTACGATTCTTGTATATAGTAATATATATATTGGAAGTTCTGGAGTTGCCTTTTGAGATTCAAGTCAGTTGTACTCCTGGCAGTTGTCAAAGCAAAAAGCCTTTTTTTAAAAAGAAATTTAATATACATTTTCTGAACCTTTTTCTTGAAACAAAATTAAATATATATATTTAGTTTACTCAAAGTGATAAAGTCAACGGACCAATGGTTGGGTTCAGGATAACATACGGAAAAGARGGAGGAGCAACAAATATGATTGACATTGGAGATATTCGAAGCTACAACTTGACATCTTTGGAAAAGAACACAAACTACAAATTCAATGTTTCTGTGAGGAATACACAGTATGTTGGCCAACCAAGTGTGGAAGCAGAAACAAGAACACTGGAAGATGGTAAGATCGTAGGATGCAGAAATTTCTTGAAATCCTGTCATGCATGTCGCTAATGTTTTGTAATATTTCGACTTGTTTTTTAGCGCCGGAGTGTGCACCAGTCCTGAAGTCAGTTCAAAGTCTTTCATCCAACAGTGTTCTGCTTATCTGGTCATCACTTCAAAATCTTAAGTGTACTAATGGTGTCTTACGAGGGTATAAAGTTGTTTACAGGGAAACAAGAAATGACTCACTGCCTTTACAAGTAYATATGGTTAACATCCCTTCCGCCATAACAACAGTAGTACCAGGACTCGTTCAATCTGTGGAGTATGGGTTCCAAGTTCGGGCGTTTACTGTGAAAGATGGAACACTCAGTAACTCACTGTTGGCAACTGCTCAGCCAGTAGGTAAGCCGAGAAAATGTCATGCCTTCCTCTGAGCAGGAAAACACTAAAGCTAAGAGAGAGAACTCATAATTAGAGACGTCTTTTAGCACGACATTCTTGCTAGGTACCGCAAAACGCTAACTGCAGTGCAAAGTCTGGCGTTTTCCGTCAAATTTTCGACATTTGGAAGTTGTTGCTGAAAGAACCGCCATATTGAATTTCATTGATGCCGAGTGCTTCTTCGTGTTAGCGGGCTTGTTTCTGGGCCTGATCCCTAGCAGTAAGCGGTAAACCTGATGCTGAATTAAAGGTCTCTATTGTGTAACACTATGTCGATCATACCTCAGTTTGATATGTGCCAAATCGTTTATTTTTTTCCAGGTAACCTTTCCATTGTWAGTGAGAAAATGAAACCTTTAGTCAGGGCTGCCATTGGTGAAAAAGTCAGTATTGGTTGCTATGCGACCGGCGCCCGACCGATCAGCTACAATTGGTTGAAGAAAGATGCAYCAATGGACAGTTCATCCATAAACGTCCTGCATAACTTCTTATTAGTTGAAATCAAGTCTGAATTGGACTTCGGAGTGTATCTGTGCAACGTGACTAACAATAATGGCGAGGCAGTTTCGTATAAGGTCAGGATTGAACAGCTGGAAATCTGTGAGCAAAATGGAGGCAGTGGTAAGGAAAATCGATCTATTCTGGTCAGCGGCACGAATAAAATAACGTTAGCATTTACTGGCTTAAAGAATCAAGCATTGTCACGTTGTCTCAACGTATCCACGTGTGAGAATTGCTTGTAAGAAATWCAGAAGAAGTGTTACGAAAATGATTGCAAATAAGTTCCTCAATCTCAAAAGACAGAATCTAAATAACGAAAATAAAAAACGTCCTATTTGTAAAATAGCTCGTAATAGACYTTTCCCAAATTCGCATGACTTCATTTCGAGGTTCAACTTAATGTAGTAATGCATTTATTGTATTTTATCAAGTCAAGCCTCGACTTGGAATCATTGTTTTGTTGTCATTCAAGTGAATTCGGGAAAAGTCTATTCCCGGATCCTAACAAGATGACGTCATTGGTAAGAGCTGGAATGGGTGATAGAATTGTCATTAGTTGCTATGGGAATGGTAGTCAACCAATCAGATACCACTGRACATTAAACGGCGCTCCTATCATGAGTTCGGTAGAATTATTCAAAACGTTCTGGTCATCGAACCTAAGACGACAAATGATTATGGGATTTACGTTTGTAACGTAACCAATGCGAATAGCACAGATTCTTATCCAATCAAATTGATGCAACTGGAGAMTTGCAAAGGACCTAATTCAACTCAAGGTTTATATATGTCAGTTTGTTAATTGCTTAAAATTATTCTTTGGTTGAAAAATTAATGTTGAATTTCTTCGATTTCCAAAATATTTTCAGGTAATGTTACGATCTTAAGAGACAAAATGACTTCCATAGTGAAGGCAGCCTTAAATRAAAGAGTTGTTCTCAGTTGCTATGCAACCGGATCTCCACCAATCAGATACATCTGGACRAAGGATGGTTCYTCKATCAACAGTTCATCCATAARTGTAATAGGCAACACAGTRATTGTCGATACAAAGACCGCAGGGGATTATGGGACATATCTTTGCCAAGCAACAAATGGTAACCAAACAGCTTCTTATGAGATTAAACTTAAGCTTTCGGAAATATGCCAAAAAAGACACAATTCAACTCAACAAGGTTAGTTTACTATCTTGTAGTGGATATTAAGTCGTGCTTTTTTTAAGAACCATTCCTAATTTTCATAGTTTCGATAGAGTCTCTTGGAAACTGCCTGCCGGGTTACGCTGCAAACCTAAAAAAAGGATTCCATTCCTACCAAATTGTTCAACAGCCTCAAAGATTTTAAACTTAGTTCAATTGTTTTCAATTTCGGATTTAAAAATTTTAAGAGATGAAGTCTTTGATTAAGACATTACGTTTTCAAAGAAGATGACATCTTTCGCTGACATTTTTAGCTCATTAGAAAATATTATTTTTTTAGGCAAGTTACGAATCTTAACCAATCTGATGATGCAGTCAGTGAATGTTGCTATTGGAAACAGAGTGAGCATTGGTTGCTACGCAACCGGGGTTSCACCAATTAGATATACTTGGACAAAAGAAGGGATTCCAGTGAACCCTTCTGCAGTCATACCAAATATTTTGGTTGTAGAGCCCAAGACGTCAATAGATTATGGGAACTATTTGTGCAATGTGTCAAAAGGAAATGAAACAGATTCATACTCCATACAAGTCAAGCCTTTAGAAAAATGCGAATCCTGCCCCGAGTCAGACAGGAACCAAACACAAGGTCAAATAAATCCTTCATATATATTAGATGTTTACTTTACCAAAGAGACAAATCTTAATTATCGGGAAAGAACGTTTATCACAGTTATACAATATCATCCCTAGAGCCTGCGTTCTTCGTCGTCAGCACCATAAGAATACTTCCATGGCTCTTAATAAGTCATCATGCTGTACTATTACGTTATCCAAAAGCTAATAGGAAAGATATAAATAGAGGGCGAAAGAAAGTCCCTCTGACATTTCTCAATTAGCAAAAAAAAAWTTTTTCCATATAAGAAATAAAAGCAAACAACGAAATTTTCAATTCACAGGAAACCTTCAAATTTCAAGAGAAAAAATGATGCCATTGATTAGAGCGAGGTATGRGGACAAAGTTAGTCTTGGTTGCTATGCAAACGGAGCTCCTCCAATCAAATACAGCTGGACAAAGAACAATCATTCAATAGTAAATTCAGAAACGATTAAAGTTTTAGAAAACGTCGTGGTTGTACGTCCCAACACAGCTGCAGATTATGGGACGTTCGTATGTAGTGTGTCCAATGGAAGAGATACAGCATCGTACGTTATCAAATTAGAGCACTTGGATATYAATGGTAGTGGAAATGCCAGTCTGAGCCAAAGTGTACAAGGTCAGTCACCATGTTTCGAAGTAATGATGGAAAGTGGGAGGATCCCGAGAGAGAAAGAGAGAGTGAGAGAGACTAATACATATCTTAATTTGTTCATTTTGTAATTATTTTCTTCAGACTTCAAGACCACATATCTGCCAATTATACTCGTCTTGGCGATATTTATCATAATATTGTTCATAATTATCATCGTCTTCTTGGTTCGGCGGCGACAACGAAAAGACAACGATTCTACAAAACCTGATTCTTACATGAAAATGGACGAAATTATTCGATCACGAAACGAGTCAGCACGAAATGTCGATGAATCGCTGCCACCAATACCTACAATTTCTACAGCAAGCGCCAGCAATACACAGACAGAATCTCACTATGATAGTATTGATTGTGGTTATGTGAATGCTGCAGCATTGACAAAGASAGATGAAACAAATGTTTATACCTTGTAGAACAGTAGAGCTTAAGACTTGAGCTTGGATGGGTAATTGATGAAAATACTTACGAGGGAGGCTTTTAGTATAAACAAATAGTTTGAACACTTTTCTTAGGCCCCGTCCACACTATGCCGGATGAATTTGAATCCGAATTTTTATTTATTCGGTTGGGCCTACCGTCTACACTAGTCCGGGCGAATCCGGAACAATTCTTCACCGAAAACSAATTTTTTCGAATACAGTCTCCAGAGTGGAAAAATTTGAAAACGCCGGCTAGCCGTATWAGTGTGGACGGAGAACATTTCGTATCCGATTTTTTTGGAATAAGATGATGTCATGATTGTCATGGGAACATGGCGAGATGGCTAAAAATTCACCGCGGGCTCAATTTCAGCTTCRATGCACATGCTCAGATGTGCAATGAAGCGTTTTTGCCGCCTGTGATCGGACTAGTGTGGACGCGAAACATTTTATCCGTTTTCATGTGTGGACGGAAAACTTTTTTTTCGGTTTCGGTGTGAAAATTGCGTATTCAAATTTATCCGGCATAGTGTGGACGGGGCCTTAGAATCTCGAATTAAATACATAATTTGCATTCGATACATACCGCTAYAGACATGCGCGTTTGTACAGCCTCGTCTAATTGTAAATTGTTTGCCAAAAAGTCAACAATGTAAGGAATGTATGGCTTTTACTTTATACTTTCATATAAGAACCTGTCTCATTTGTCAGGCTGAAGTGGTTCTCGTATATTGGGTGCTTTACTGGCTAAATACATTGAAGCCTGGTRGTTCTTAATCCACTGGTTGTTTTATCGTATGGGGAGTTGTTACTGTATCTGCGGGGCATTCCATAGTCTTCCTTTTTTAAATTCTGAATATTTTGATTTCGTTTGACGAGAAACGTGATATATCTTCCAACAAGGCGGCTTCTTTCACGAGAAAACCACGTGTTACATAAAACAACCTCGATTACCACAGGCAGCCCGAAATTAGTGGGTATGCGAAAATATCCATATCAGTACCYGCATCATGAATAACTATTACTTAGTGTTATTAACAATTCCTCTGTTTTCTTGAGAAATGCATACAATACTCGAAATATTAACTAGTAATTAAAGTGATATTTCTTTTTCTACTGTTACATCTGGTGAAATTGAGTCAATAATCAAGAAATCCAACAACAAATGTTCTAGCCTCTTCGATCCTATACCAACCTCCTACAGTCACCAACATTGTGAATCAGTCTCTCACACCTATTATCCTACAAAGAGGCCATGSTCACCCCTATTCTGAAGAAATCAGACCTACACACTGAAGACCTGAAGAACTACAGACCGATATCCAACCTCTCCTATATTTCAAAACTAATCGAGAGAACCGTAGCCAAGCAGTTAACCAGTTACGTTCAGACTAACAATCTCGATGAGGCAATGCAATCAGCCTACCGAACACACTCTACAGAGACTGCATTATGTAAGTCATACAGCGACATAACATTATCTCTTGACCGAAATGAGTGTGTTTTGCTCGTATCACTGGAATTGTCCGCTGCTTTTGACACGATTGATCATCAAATCCTATTAGCTAGGTTGACACATCGGTTTGGAATCACTAGTAAGTTTCTTCCGACTGGATCAAATCCTAACTTCAGGGGAGGAAGCTGAGAGTGGCTATTGATGGTTCTCTCCGACTCAAAAGATCTAGAATTTGCGCCACAGGGCTCGGTTTAGAGCCAAAACTGTTCACAATGTATCTAGCTCCACTTGGTGACATTGCACGTCATCAMGGCGTTAACTTTCATGCCTATGCTGATGATTGCCAACTATATATCGCCTTCTCTAAGGAAAATACCTCGATGATAAAGATCAAGATGGAAACCCTTCTCATAGAGATCAAACAATGGATGTCTTTCAACATGCTAAAACTTAATGAAGATAAAACTGAAATACTTGCTGTTCAAGGTCCACGACGAAATCCAGTTGACTTACAAGCACTCACTGTTGGGGATGAAGAAGTCAGTATTAACCGAGTGCATCCGCCTATTGGGTGTCGATTTTGACACTAACCTCTCACTAAAACAACACGTCATGTTGCTAAAAAGTGTTTCTTTATACTTAAGAACATGTATAAGATCAGACGTTGCCTTGATGAATCCTCGGCAAAGACAATGGTGCACAGTATGATTACCTCTAAACTCGACTATCGTATTGCCATCTTATGTGGGATGCCTGATTCGACACTAGAGCATCTTTATACCAGAGTACTGACAAAGAATGTCAGCACGTTTTGTTTCTCAACGGGCCAAATATGAACACATAACACCAGTCATGAAACAGCTTCTCTGGTTACCTATACGACATCGAATACACTATAAAAATCTGCTATTAACCTAGAAGTCAATRAATGGTCTTGYACCATCGTACCTAGAGGAGATGACGAAKAAAAGACCATATCCATCTTATAGTACCCAAAAWCAAACACAAGACCTTTGGTGGGAGATCTTTTGCATTTGCGGGAGAGTTTGAAATAATACAGTTAACCTTAGTATTTTTATATATTTTAAAGCATTTTTGTTACACTGGTCTGTTGACAGTGTCTCTCAGCGGTCAAATGGTATTGATCGATTTTATAGCATTTTTGTTACACCGGTCCGTTGACAAAGTACAATGACTTGTTGAATCTACCGTGTAACTCAGTCAGTAGCTGTCATAATAATAATAATAATAATAATAACTTTATTTATCCTACAAAAATGGATCAGCTAGTACCTTGGTAAAAGCTGGTATTAACCCATGTGTAGCATGTCAAAACAATCCGCCCATGCACAATGCCACATACAAGACGTTTGGACYGTAGGAAAAGGCTCATGAGAATCACTGCATAAAAAAATTAATTAAAACTTTACTGGAACAAAGCCATTATTTCTGGTTAGAAAGTAAATAATATAGAATAATGAAAATCGTAAAAAGATGTGAGCTTGACGCACTGATCTGCATTACAAAAGTGAAGAACTGAAACTGCCTACTGCGATGTATGGCCTCCAAATGTTCGAGTGCCGCTCAAGCGTTAACGTTCCTATGCGGAAATTCTACTTAACTAACCCCCAACTATTATATTTACATAACCGTTCTACTCAGCTGAATGCTCGAGCTCGTTATCCGGTAAGTATCTAATAYTTCAATTTTATTTGCTGCGGGTTCTCTTGATTGGATTTGATACTAAATTTGTGAACGTTGTARTAAGAACCGTTACGAAGAAAAATCACACGTCTCATGTACATAACRATTAAGATCAGTTCRATGATTAAACCTCTTTCTATCGAGCAAATGTTTTTTAAATCATACCCTTGTTTTTATCATTTTATCAAGAGTTGTTATAATCCCTTTTCCATCTATCTTCAATATTCCAGAATGAAACGTTTTCTTCTTACATGAACAAGATGGAAGGACTGATTTACAGTGTTCGTTATTTCCGGGTCATAGCAACAGGGTTAATATTTCTCATTAATATAACTGCAGCTTTTGCAGGTGAGTTAAACTTTAACGAAATATGCCAAACCTTTCAGCAAGGTGTCAAGTTTTCGATCATTAACTCGATTGGTGTAAGACAGTTTCAGATTAATTTCCTCCTTATAATATATACTTCTTGAGCAGTGATTCTTGACGGAACTCACTGAGTGAAACAAGTAAACACAACATAACCAAACTTCCTATCGTCATAAATTTAGATTAATAAAACAGTTTTGTGATCTTAAAAATATATATATATCAAGACGATCCGTGCATTATTAGTTCAACTCAGAGGAGAGAAAAAAATGTTAATGAAAAAATGATATATCTCACTAGCAAAGTATTCTTTTATTTATGTCGATTGTTGCATCATCAATAAGGTGGACATATTTTCATTAACGCTATAATACACTTCATTAGCGTGGACTAGACTTTCAATAACGATATTCAAATATGCACGAACATTCAACAGCATCAGCTGATAAACAATAGCACATTCATGGAGATGGAATGTATATTTCCTTTTACACTTATAATGAAACTTCAATAACACCAATAGCATTGACAAACACTACCATTCATAGATAATCATTTAGCGAAAATAGTAAATTCATTAGCGCAATTAGCATAAACATGGACAGTCAATAGCGCAGCGCACTGATTCTAAAAATAGCTTAAAGATTCGGACRAACATTGCATTCTGTTTAACCGCTACRAGGATTATACGAACCGATTTTATTATTTTTACTTAAAGTTACAATAATAAAYCATGTAAACTAAGATCAACTGCGATCGGCTGTGAAAATTATCTGCTGAAAGTAAACTTGTAAGTTTATTCGTCCGAATTTCGCCTTTGTCTTCGTTTTTATGACGTCATGGTTGCGCTGCGCTATTCCGCGTTTACAGTCAATTCAAAAAATGTTGTCGTCGACCAGCTCAAGCCTACGCGACTGGACCGAAAGGAACTCTGGGTAGCAATCATTAAAGCCGAGTTGACTCCATAATTTTATCTGACTAGTTATGCCTGGTTTACAGCACGAACCTTCGTAGGCGAGCGGAAAGTGTTGAAGGAGACTTTTTTTTAATGCCTTCATATTTTCGAAACTGTGAACTAAATCATAACTACTTTGTTTTTTCCCTAAACCCAAAGACATGCATTTGAGGGATTGTTTCTCGTCATTATTATCTTATTGCTAGTGRGAATAACGAATATATTTAACCGCTTCAGTGATTTTTAMCCATATTCCTTTCGGTCCAGTCGCGTAGGCTTGAGCCGGTCGACGACAACGTTTTTTGAATTGACTGTATWCAATCATGAGCGTCAACGTTATATTCTATAGCGTGGTTCGACAAACATTTGCATGATTCAAATGAACAATAAGAGAAATAAAACGATCACTAACCACCGTGCATTAACATACATTTTTATCTTTTAGCCTTCAATTTCTTCGCCATTTATACATCGTGACAAACACGTTTGCATATATCTGAACCACTGACCACTTTTGGCGATAGTGATAGCTTCAAGATAGCCCAAGCCGCTCTAATACACGGATGGCTTGGCTTAACTATAAATTTTAGTGTTGACTGACCGGTTGGCGGAACCWAACGTCATTAAATATAAATCAAGTTGAATAAAGTGTATTCAGTCAAACTGTTGAATAGTTAGATAAATGTATTTAACTTAGTTAACTATTTAGTTGACGTCACCTGAAAATATAGTAAAAGCGCGCCAAATAACGGTCATGCTAATCCGGGGGTTGTTTTACCAGAGAATGAGTGAATAGACATTCATTTGTATCATCGTTTCTCCCCCTGATCTCAGTAGCTGTTTACTCG